ATTTGTGGGCTTCTCTTGCTGCCACATTGTCTTACTATAGAGAGAGGTTGTCTCCTTCCACTCTAGGTCAATATTCAATGCATGTATTAAATTCTTCCTGCTTTAAATACCTAGAATGGTTTCTGAGTCCTGCACTGAACCTCATCCCTTCTTTATCCAGGCTTCCCAGGTAGCCTTCATCACCTGGATTTTAACCCCTTACAGCTCCGTATTTCCCCTAAGACCCCATCTCCCACCCTTCCTTGACCCCCTATAGTGTTTGCTGGAATGGCAGTATACTGTGAACAAACTTAACTATGTCCTCAGATCTTCACCTTCCTACTCTCTTGGAAACCTGGCTAACGCCTGCTGATATTACTTCCAATGTAGTTTCCCCAAGTACAGGCCGTTTTCCCTCTCACATCACTCATTCCACCTGGCCTGCAGGTGGGGGGAAGCTGTCCTTCTTTGCCCTTCTCCATAAAACCCCAGCCTTTCTGACATTAAACCATACCCTATCTCCTTGTCACAGTCATCTGTAGATCCTTACCTCATTCACTGAACATTTGGGCCACAGGCTCACTGTCTCTCTCTACCACTGCCCCTGTCATCATTCTTAGTAACTTCAGCATCTGTGAAAATGATCCATCCAACACAGACCTCTCAGTCGGTCTTCCCAAGTTCCCCAGGCTCCCTCGAAGGTAGAGGTAGTGCTATGTGACCCACTGAGATTGAAATCAAAATCTGATGGAGGGATGGATTCTGTGAAAGCTTTGCTTTCTTGCCTTGGGATCTGCTCTCTTCTTCCGACCTTGAATACAAATGGGGTACATTGGCCAACCCAATAAAAGAGTAGAATACAGGGAGAGAAAGAGAAACAAATATTAAATAAAGAAACTTTAAGGGAAATTGTTGAATGCAGCAGGGAGAAGAAATGCAGAATAGCCAAATCCCTGTCATTGTTTTAAATGAAGACCTAACTAATCAACTTTACTCTTAGAAGTATTCTATAATAAGCCCCTCCTTATGAAGCTGATTTTTCAATCTAGGTTTGCAAGCATTGCACCCTGGGAACCTGCTTTTTGAAATCTGAATTTGATCCCATTTGTGATTCTGCTGTGTATAAAATCAAGGAGGAGGCTCTTCAATTGCTCTGAGCTTCAGTTTCCTATATTTGTCAAAGCAAGAGTCTAATAATAACTCTTCAGAAGTTAGCTTGGTGAATAGAGAGCAAAATCCTGTCCCACGACATTTGCACCTGCTTTTCCCTCTTCCTGAAACCCTCTGCTCCCAGATGTTCACAGGGCCTCTCTCCCTTTGTGTCCAAGGGGCCTCCCTGACTGCCCTATTTGAAACTGTATACTCCTACCTACTCTATGTTACTTTTTCCACCTAATTCTACTCCAAAGCTTTTATCATCACCTAACATATATGTTCCTCTGCCTTTTCTAAAACCAGCTTGAACATCTGGAAGTTCACGGTTCATGTATTGCTAAAGGCTGGCTTGGAGAATTTTGAGCATTACTTTACTAGCCTGTGACATGAGTGCAATTGTGCGGTAGTTTGAACATTCTTTGGCATTGCCTTTCTTGGGACTGGAATGAAAACTGACCTTTTCCAGTCCTGTGGCCACTGCTGAGCTTTCTAAATTTGCTGGCATATTGAGTGCAGCACTTTCACAGCATCATCTTTTCAGATTTGAAATAGCTCAACTGAAATTCCATCACCTCCACTAGCTTTGTTCACAGTGATGCTACCTAAGGCCCACTTGACTTCACATTCCAGAA